TTTTGTAATGTGTGGTATCCAGATTCTAAGTATAAACAAAACAGATGTGTTCTGGAGTCTTTATTATACAGTTCAAATTTGAAAAAAAAAGATCAACCATAATCCTTCTTATTTTATTTTAAAAATTATTTTTATAAACAATTTATTTTTATATTTTGGTGTTCCTTGTATGATTTGGATGTGGTGAGGTAGAATTGAAAGATAATTTATATCACTCTATTGCAGACAATTCTTTTCCTGAAGTACAGCTTGATCAGAGTAGGCAGTTTCTCAGGACTTTTATATTCACTATGCTGGTGTAGGGGGCAAAAGGAAAGCTTTCCCTCCACTTTCTGAAGTTTTGCTGAAAATCAACTGACAACAAGCAGACTAATAGGAGAAAAAGACATAGATATTTATTTAATGTGCATGATGGGGGGAATTGCAAAAGGATTACCCAATAACTCAATGGAGTATAGAAATATATTTATGTACCCATTTTTGTAAAGCAGAGAGAGATGGGGAATTTAGACCATTCTTCTCATGAATAGTAAATTATTATTAGGGAGAATGAAAAGACCTGGGAGACAAAATTAATTTGTAAATGACTCTCTTTAGTAATTGAATCATCCTGAGAGGTGACACTATCTGTTTGAAAAAGTCCATTCAGATGTGGTTGATTCCCTCAGTGACAAATAATGAGATTTCTAAGATGGGATGAAAGATGACTGTGTTGCTCTTTGGAATTTTAGTTTTTAGATAAATAAGAGAACTTCAGAGAACATCCTCATCTTGTGGTTTGAGAGAGACAGAAGCGTTGGAAGGGTGCAGGGCAAGCAAGGGAAGGGCTGAGAGACCTTGAGGCTCTTTCTTTAGCTCGGTATGTCAAAGTCTCATTTTGTGAGATCCTTTTTCGGCACCCCAACACTGGGGATAAGACTGCAAAGATACCTTAGGCATTGGTTGCTACATCTGGGAGAAAAATACCTCAAAGGAATAAAAGGTTATCAAAAGTCATTCTTTAATGAGAACACACGGACACAGGGAGGGGAACAACACACAGTGGGGCCTTTTTAGGTGAGTAAAGGTGGGGGGAGGGAGAGCATTAGGAAAAATAGCTAATGCACATGGGGCTTAATACCTAGATGATGGGTTGATCAGTGCAGCAAACCACCATGGCGCACATTTACCTATGTAACAAACCTGCACATCCTGCACATGTATCTCAGAACTTAAAAAAGGGGTCATTTCTCCTCTTTATTTCTAATAAATACATTTTTCCAAATGTATAGAAGATCAAATTGGATTAAATTTTTTTATGACTTGCATTGTGCAAACATTTGGGAAATATAACATTTAAATATGATATTAGTCCATTTTCACACTGCTGATAATGACATGCTGAAGACTGGGCAATTGACAAAGGAAAGAGGTTTAATGGAGAACTTACAGTTTCATGTGGCTGAGGAAGCCTCGCAATTGTGGCAGAGGTAAGGTGGAGTAACTCTCATTTTACGTGGATGGAGGCAGGAAAAAACAGAGCTTGTATAGGGAAATGCCCGTTTTTAACACCATCAGATCTCGTGAGACCCATTCACTATCACAAGAACATGGGACAGACCCACCCCCCAATCATATCCTACTGGGTCCCTCCCACAGCACATGGGAATTATGGGAGCTACAAGATAATATTTAGGTGGGGACACAGCCAAACCATACCAGTCCACCTCTGGCCCCTCCCAAATCTCATATCATCGCATCTCAAAACCAATCATTCCCAACGGTCCCCCAGAGTCTCAACTCATTTCAGCATTAACTCAAAAGTCCACAGTCCAAAGTCTCATCTGAGACAAGGCAAGTCCCTTCCACCTATGAGCCCGTAAAATCAAAGCAAGTTAGTTACTTCCTAGGTACAATGGGGATACAGGCATTGAGTAACTACAGCCATTCCAAATGGGAGACATTGACCAAAACATGGGGCTGCAGGCCCCATGCAAGTCTGAAATTCAGCAGGGCAGTCAAATCTTAAAGTTCTTTTTAAAATGATCTCTTTTGACTCCATGTCTCACATCCTGGTTAGATTGATACAGGAGGTAGATTCCCTCCACTCATGTGGATTTGCAGGGTATAGGTACCCCACACCTGGCTGCTTTTACAAGCTGGTGTTGCACGTCTGTGGCGTTTTCAGGCACAGGGTGCAAGCTGTCAGTGCAGCTATCATTCTGGGGCCTGCAGGATGGTGGTCCTCTTCTCACAGCTCCGCTATGTGGTGCCCCAATAGGGACTCTGTATGGGGCTGTCATCCCACATTCCTTTTCCCACACTGCTCTGGCAGTGGATGGGCTCGCCCCTGCAACAGAATTTTTCCTGGGCATACAGGCAGTTCCATACATCTTCTGAAATGTAGGCAGAGGTTCTCAAGTCTACCATGTGGAAGCTACCAAGGCTTGGGGCTTCCACCCTCTAAAGCAACAGCCCGAATTGTTCCTTGGCCTCTTTTAGTCACGATCGGAGCAGCTACAACACAGGGCACCAAATCCCCAGATGGCACACAGCAGAGGAACCCTGGGCCTGGCCCACAAAACCATTTTTTCCTCCAAAACCACTGGGCTTGTGGTGGGAGGGGCTGCTGAAAGATCTCTGTCACGCCCTGGAAACATTTCCCCATTGTCATTTGGCTTTTTGTTACTTATGCAAATTTCTGCTGCTGGCTTGAATAAATCCCATAGACAATGGGATTTTCTTTTCTGTTGCATTGTCAGGCTGCAAACTTTCCAAACTTTTGTGCTCTGTTTCCCTTTCAAAACTGAATGCCTGTATCAGCACCCAAGTCATCTCGTGAATGCTTTGCAACTTCAAAATTTCTTTACCACATTCCCTAAATCATCTCTCTCAATTCAAAGTTTCACAAATCTCAAGGATGGGGCAAAATGCTACCAATCTCTTTGCTGAAGCATAACAAAAGTCACCTTTGCTCCAGTTCCCAAAAAGTTCCTCATCTTTATCTGAGACCACCTCACCCTGGATTTTATTTTCTCTATAATTATCAGCATTTTGGTCAAAGTCATTCAACAAGTCTCTAGGGAGTTGCAAACCTTCCCACATTTTCCTGTCTTCTTCTGAACCCTCCAAACTGTTCCAACCTCTGCCTATTACCCAGTTCCAAATTTTTTTTTTATCAGTAGTGCCCCACTCCTGGTACCAATTTACTGTGTTAGTCTGTTTTCATGCTGCTGATAAAGACATACCCAAGATGCAATTTACAAAGGAAAGAGGTTTGAGAACTCACAGTTTCACATGGCTGGGGAAGCCTCACAATCATGGTGGAAGACAAAGAGGAACAAGTCACATCATTCATGGATGGCAGCAGGAAAAAAGAGATCAGGGAAACGCCATCAGATCTCATGAAATCTATTCACTATCATGAGAACAGCATGGGAAAGACATGCCCCCATGATTCAATCATCTCCTACAGGGTCCCTCCCATAACACATGGGAATTATGGGAGCTACAAGATGAAATTTGGGTGGGGACACAGAGCCAACCCATTATCAAATATTAAGTGGAATTGGGACCTTGTTGAATGTATATATTTGGATATAAACATCATAATTTCCTTGTAAGTTATATCTTTTATGCATTCTGTGTCGTTAGTGTGCTAATTTCCCCTGTGTAGTTTCACAAGACAATGTTTTTCATTCACTAACCACATTTCTTACTGCATTAGTAATATCAACATAGTCACATTTCCCTGTGTGCTGCCTTCAGGGTTATGAGAGATGTAGGTACATTTGTTAAGCCCAGGTAAATATTAAATATCACTTATGAGAGAGAGAGAGATAACAATGGCATTTGCTGCCAGCCCGAAGGTCCTCTGAGATGTGTATGAATGCATATGACTTGTTCAGCCTATTAAGCAGATGCTAGTTCAGCTGAAGTGCATGTGGGTAGGGTCATGGGGGAATTATGTATGTATGAAAATTGCAGATATGAGCTTTGGGGATGCCTTTTAAACTTTTTATTTATTTATTTTAAGCATTGATCTCAAATATGTATTAATACTATTAGTTTTGATTATAGAAAATTGTAAAAATTAAAAAGCAATTAGGAATTGAATAAAAACATGAAGGAAAATATTACTTAAGATTTTGAGGGAGGTTTATTGGAAGCCAAATGTAAAGATCCACCCGTGAAGACACACCACCGCAGAGTCTGTTCCAAGTTGGGAGGGTTTCCTAAGGAAGTCTAGAAGAAGGGAGGAAGCCTCCTCATATCAGAGTTGTTCTTTTTGCTGGAGGGTATAATGCAGAAGTTACAATCACTGGCTACAGATATCAACATACAGGTTAAAATGTCTACATGCAGGACAATCAGCAGAACTTCCTGATTCTGAAACAAATCAGCAAAATTTCACGATTCAAAGGCAAATCAGCATCCTTTTCAATGTCATTAGGCTATGTATTCATCAGTATGTAATTTGAGGAACTCAGAAAAATTTCTTTAGTGACAGGATGTTACCATAAATCACAAGACAGGTTAACTTGGAAGCCAGTTTACTTTCAAAGTAAACTGGCAAATGTGGCCCGTAGGTTATCAAATAAAATAAATCAATCATTAATTTTGTCTGAAGTTTTGCTTAGTCCAATAACCAGACATTGATTTTCAGTTGTTCCTCTCTACTGTTTGTTTGGTCATGTGATATTATGAACTGTAAGGAATTATTTAAAGTCTATTGCAACTCTTTCAATGAGGGAAGCCATTTCTTAATATTTCAGCTCAGAAAATGAATGATATATTTCTTTATACTATTCTGAAATGTGAAAAAGTTACTGAGGTCTTTTTCTTTATAGAAAGACAAAATTAAGGATTTAAAAGAAAAATGAGATTTTATAAAACTAGATTTTTATTGTGTGTTTTTGCTGCTCTAGATGTATAAAAATATCTGAAAGCATGAAAAACAAACAAATGAAAACTCCTAATTACTGAATGTTAATATTTCCTTTTTTTCTTTTTTCTTTCAGCTTTCGGGAGAAGTGATTTTGCAAATTGCCAACGAACCTGTTCTGCCCTTTAATGCACTTGATATAGCTTTAGAAGTTCAGAACAACCTTAAAGGTAATTCTCCTTTGATTTATAGTAATTTTACCAATGAAAAATTGTTCAACTAATTTTCAACAAGGAATGAAGTCATCGATGATCTTACTAGCTATGACAATGCTGTGCTTCCTGGAGAAGGTGATCCTGGGAAGGACCTGGAAGAATTTTAGCTTTTAGTCAACAAAAATGAGATGCACTTATGTGTGAGCATAAAGCAGAATACCAGATTTTAAAGGAAGGCCCATCTATGTTGTCAGAGAGATTTATAATTCTAAGTTTTTATTATTATTTTCAGGTTCCATATAGAATAATATAGTTCAATGATCCTTTTTTTTTTTTTTAACATTGCACCTAACAGTCAATCAGTTCAAACAAGGCTGGCCTGGAGGTTTCTCTTTTGGGGCTGGTTTCTGTGTCATATGGGCCCCACTCCATTTGACTGAGATGTTGGCTCAGACCTTAGATCAAAGATGATAAGGAAGAAACCAGGCAATTATTTCCGAGTTTCTATTTCAATTCCTTCATGTTTGAGTATATATCTCTCTGCATAATCCTGACCCCACCCTAAGAATTACATTTACTTTCCTTTTATCTACATACAAATCTTTTAATTAGGCTCCTAATTTGTCTTCATTAACCACATAGAAAGAGCAGTATTGTGATTAGAGATTTTACCTTCCTCCTCTCTGAGTCACACATCTTCCTAACAGATCTTCGATGAGTCATTTGTGGACAACTATTTCTCAATAAAAAAGTCAATATTTTAACTGTAAAGCTGAAACAGTAATTCTTTGAAAACAGATAATTCTAAAAAGCCAAATATTTCCAATAGCTGAAGATTTCATCCTTTTTTCTTTACCTGGATTTCTTATTATTGTCTGAATTAGAGATTACTCCTTTTTTCCCCCTCAGTACTTCTTATGGTTTTATTATAGTGGCTGTAAAACTATGACCTTGTGAACAGCTATTGGTTCCCATACAAAATGGCCTCATGTTGCTCTGCTTTTTGTATATTTAAGTTAGTCTCTATGTAGTTTCCTTCTTTCCTACCTACATGAGGATTTCATCTCACTGTTGTCAGTGTGTCTACCTGTAGCAGTCACTCTGGGCAACCAAGCATATGACATTTTACAAAATAAGATCGAAGCAGGTATAAATAAAGGTCTAAATAGTTTGTGCATAATAAATATCATTTCTGAAAATACTTTTTAAACATTAATTTTATTTGTTCTGTAAACCATTTTGCTGTTTCTTTAGTTTTTACACTACATACTTCAGAAAATTCTGTTGGTGTTACATATAAAACTTTAAACTTTCAGAAAACAAAAGGAGGTTAACAGCCTTACAATACTTGTTCATCTCTAAAGCAGTAACTGCTATGCATGAAAAGAAGCCCCAAAGAGTATATTACAAAATGCTAACATTATATAATAGAATTATAGATGATAAGTTGCTTTTCTGAGGCCAAAAGTGTTAGCAATACTGTCATTTTACATGCTAAAATCCATTTTTTAAACAATAGGGTTTAGTCTTCAAAATTCATATATATGATTCTTTTGTGGTTTATATTTGTGATGTTTGGATTTTCAGGCTAATGTGTGAGATGTACCTCCTTCAAACCTTGTTAGCACATTGGCACATTACAATTGTCCAACATAGCAAATCTACAGATTAACATGTTATTTCACCATTATCACTACTATATGAACATTTAAGTTACACGGGCTAAGAATGATGCTCAAAAAATGACCTTTTGGGTTATTGCTAGAATCATATTATCAATCTGGTTTATGTGGATGATTAAGGACCTCTTTCAACCTCTGAAGAAAATTATGATCTTTCTCTACAGAAAGTTACATGCATATAAAAATTTTTGCATGTAATCGCCATGGACTTCACACCATCTCCTGAATTCACTTTTTCATTCATTTAAATATTTAAATTAAATATTTATTGAGCCTCTATGGTATGCCTGGCATGGTTCCATTATCCAAACAAACAAACAAAACAAAAACAAACAGCAGCGAAATAAATAAACCAAAATTAAAATCCCTGCGCCTAAGAAACATACCTACATCCGTTCCCATAGTGAGACAAAATTGCCATAAATAAAAGCAAATCTGAAATTACCATTATGTTCAAACTAATATCAATCACTAAGTGCCATAATATTAATTACTGTTATACAAATTTGTATTCCCAAAATAAATGTGATAGCAGAACATAGCAGTTGCATTTTGAGTCTGGAGGAGATATCTGACCTGAGAATATAAATTTCGGATTCATCCTAGAAGAAATTACTAGGGGATTGCATGTAGGTGACAGAAAAGGTCTAAGACTTCGGAGGCACTCCTACCTTTAGAAGCTGGGAGAAAAGGTACAATCATAGAAGGAGACCAATGAGGAGTGTCCAAACAATAATAGAAAAACAGGTGAATGTTATAACCAGAGGCCAAGTGGATAAAATATTCCCAAGAAGAGGAAGTAATCAACTGTGTCAAATGCCGCTAATGGGTAAAGAAAAGGAGGACTGAGAATTGACTACTGGATTTAGCAATGTGGAAGTCATTGGTGATCTTAACAAAACCATTTTAATTTGTCACATTTTATCATAACCAGAGTGACTCCACCTTGAGTGAGGGCTAGGAAAATGAGGCTGGGACTTGCTGGGCTGCATTCCCAGAAAGTTAGGCATTCCTAGTCTCTCAGTGTTTATGGTTAAGGGAACAAATTGATAATGTTTACTCAACAGACCCAGACTTGGGAGTGTTCTAACATGCTAACGTCTTGAGAACAACGGCATTCCTAATTTTGTTTTAAAGACAACTATATTTATTCTTGCAAAATATAGTAATTAAGAAATTAATCCTTTATCGCAAACACTTATAGCAGAGCATATCCACCCATGATCTTTTGTATCCTGTACATAAGCAAGCATTGTACCTACGGTGGACACGTTCCTCCTCTTACTTTAGGAAATGCCCTGCTCTGTCTATGGAATAGCTGTTCTTTCACCACTTTACTTTTTTAAGAAACTTGCTTTTGATTTACACTGCAGACTCACCCTGAATTCTTTCTTGTATGAGATCCAAGACCCGTCTCTTGAGGTCTGGATCTGGGCCCCTTTCTTGTAACAGTGGTATAAGTATGGAGTCAAGGAAGTGTAGCATGTTTTTATTTTGATGACAGTGATCTAGTGGAGTGGTAAAATTTGCTCACACAAGAGAGTAAACCGATAATTACTGTATTGATTTTCTTAAGTGGGGGAAACACAAGGATTGAGGACTTTGTATTAGTTAGGAACTGTAGTAGACCATTCAGGCAGTTATAACACCATAAACTGGGTGGCTTATGAACAACAGTAATTTATTTCTTACAATTTGGAGGCTAAGATATCCAAGATCAAGACACCAGCAGTTTCACGGTCTGGTGAGGGTTTACGTCCCGGTTCAAAGATGACCATCTTTTTGCTATAACTCCCCATGGTAGAAGTGTGGCAGAAGCTCTCTCGTGTTTAACAGGGCACTGGTTTAATTTTTTAGGGCTCTGGCCTCACGAACTAATCAATTCTAAAAGGTCCCACCTCCTAATACTATCACTTTCGGGGTTAGATTTCAGCATAGGAATTCTGGGGGGACACAGCACTCAGATCAAAGCAGAAACACAGTAGTCCATCCATGAAAATGTGAAGGGAGGCGGAACACACAGCAGATAGGTAAATTTGGTGTTGGGATTCCTTGTCAAGTTTCTTTAGATTAGAAAAGCATAAAATAGGTTTTCTTTAGGAGGGTAAGAAAGTGAAAAACTATGGAAATGTAAGTTTTGAAACAGCATTAAGAGCCTGGAAGAGATACATATTATACATGGGAAAATTCAGCATAATTTTGGATTTTTTCCAACCTTCGAGGGGATGCAAATGCAGGCAAGAAAAGATTCTTTTCCTCACTTATCACTAGGTTAATGGTTGAGACACCTATCACAAAAGATACATTAAACAAGTGTGAACTCAAAATATGTGAGATAGATCTCAGTCAACTTAGAAATTTTATTTTGCCAATGTTAAGGGTGCATCCATGACACAGATTCAGACATCAACTAATATATGTAAGATGTACATTGGTTACAGGAAGGCGGGACAGCTTGAAGCAGAGAGGGGACTTCCAGGTCATAGATAGATAAGGGACAAAAAACTGCAATCTCTTGAGTTTCTGATTCGCCTTTCACTGAATACGCAATTTACAGGAAGAATCACGTGTGCCTTAGTCTGGTTTAGTGAAGAAGTAGGGCAAAGGAAGCAATCAGATATGTGCTTATCTCATGTGAGCAGAGGGATGACTGATTTCTGTCTGTCCTTTGTCCACAAGGAATTTCCTCATGAGGGAGGTATATAGCGTTTTTTAATCTTTGTATCTATACTGTATAGTAATGGAATAGCAAAGAAACTAAGGAAAAGAGCATATCTCTATGTAGATACTGAAATTGCCAAGAATTAAGAGTTGTGAAAGAGTGAGTGATGATGAGTCAAGAGATAAAAATCTTCGAAGAGTGAACGGTGGTGATCTAGAAACACTTCATATTATTCTTCTAGGGTGGGTGGTACAAAAGCACAGGGGAAGAAAAGCACTGCTGCCTATGGGAGCTAAAATGCAACTGATATCCTTAGGTGAGAATCCAGTTTTAATTAAAGCAAGAAGGGAAAGGAACTATTCTCAGAATAGGCCAAGGAAATTAATAACCTTTTCCATAATAGTTATATCTAAGCGTGTGTCATCACAGGAGAAACAAAACAAAACAGAACTGCAATGATTCTACAGAGATTTTCACTCCAAGGCAGACGCCACTATATATACAGCTAGTGCTCGACTTACGACCACGATTGGTTCTGACGGACCGGTCGTCACGCGATTTGGTCGTAAGTTGAGTAGGCTATATGTACAGTACTGTGAAATGATGTGATAAAAATCTTTAAGTCACATTTTATCATAATTTTCTTTCATTATTGTTATATATCATAATTT